GAAACTCACTGTAGCTTGTGTTTTAGTCCACAGCTGCAGTGATCACCTCGGCATAGCATGCGGTGAGGCAGAGACGGATCAAGGAACAGAACAGGGAGCCTGGAGCTAGCCTCCTCCGGAGGAAGAGCTGTGACAAGGGTTCATAGGAAATTCAGACGGACAGCTCAATCCACACAGGACATTGGAACGGGGGACCCCCACAGGCTGAGTAAAGAGTACCACTCAAAATGGGTCAAAGATCAAATTTGTAAAACTATGAAAAACTGAGAAGAAAATGTAGGGGAAATTCTTCAGAACTTAGGGTTAAATGATTTTTAGAAATTAAAACAAGATCCACACAAGGAAAACTTGACAAATTATAACACCTGCATTAAAATGAAGAATTTTTCCTTGGCAAAACAACTTCATTAAAAGGATGAAAAGGCCAGCTACAGGTTGGGGGAAAATACTGACAAATCATGTATTTAACAAGGGTTTGGACCTAGAATAAAAAAAAATACCAAAACCCAACTGAAAAAACAAAAAAACTCTACACAATCTAATAGGCCAAAGACATGGACATTTCACTGGAGAGGATAGACAGAGCACCCAGGTGAAAAGATGCTGTGAAGTCAAGGGCCATCAGAGAAACACGAACAAGGCACAAGGAGGTGTCGCGGCCCACCACTGAATGGCTAGGAAGAAGAAATGGTAACACAGAAGAGTGGGAGAGAGGCGAAGACGCTGGACAGTCCACGTGCCACTAGGAAAACAATAATTAAATACTAGTAAAATTTACTTAACACTAAGTAAAATAATAGCTATCTGGGAAACAGCTTAGTGGTTTCTTACAAAGGTAAACATGTACCTACCAAGTGCAGTCCTGGGCATTTATCCCAGAAAAATGATCATTTAGGTCCACACAAAAGTCGACGTGGGAACTTTCGTAGCACCTTAGTCACAATAACACCAAACTAGAAATGACCTAGACGTCCTTCAATGAATGGTTAAATGAACCACGGCCTGCCCTGGGCCATGGGGTATCACTCAGCAAAAATGATGAACCACTGAGGGAGGGTGAGGAATTACACAGAATGGGGGGAAAAAAATCAGGGCCGGCCAAATAGCTCCGCGGATTAAAGTATGCCAGGGGTTCGATCCCTGGGCCTGCCGTGCCAGACCTGCCCCCGGGGGTGCGCTGAAATGGTGATTGAGACTGGGCGTGGTGGCGTGCGCCTGTAATCCCACCTCTTGGGAGGCTATAAACAGGAGAATCACTATGAGTCTGATCTAGTAGTCAGACCCTGAACACCTTGTAGACGCTTCCCTAAAATACAGAAAAAAAAAAATCGATCTTGAAACATTACCTACCGAATTATTTCATTTATATAATATTGTCAAAACAACAAAATTAGAGAGACGAACAACAGACTTGCGGTTCCCAGGAATGGGGGCAGGGTACTGGGGAGGGAGGTGAGACGCAGGAGCTCTGTCTGGCTGTAAGGGGGACGCAGGGAGCACCATGGTGAAGGGAATAGTTCTGTGTCGGGGTTATACAAATCTATACCCCACACAAGTGAGTACAAGCGGATTGCAAGCCCCGAGTGCATTCTGGGAGCTCTACTAATGTTGATTTTCTAATTGTGAGATTGCACGACAGTTTCTGCTGGGGAAACTGGAAATACCTGAGGCCCTTCTGCATTTTTCAAACAACTTCTCTCAGCCCTAACTCAAATACAATACAATTCACCCATTTAAAATGCAGCATGCAATGGATTTCAATGGGTGTACAGCTACTACCAGTATTTAATTCTGGGACATTTTCATCACATTAAAAATAGCTCCTATACCCTTTAGTCATCAATACCTGTCCTCTCCATCACGCCGTACCTCGGAGCACTTGCTAACCTACTCTACAGATCTGCCCGGTGAGGACACAGCACGGAACTGGGATGGTACAGCGTCCTCCGGCACCTTGCACTGTTTCCAGGGCTCATCTATGTTGCAGAGAGACCACTATGTACTCGGCCCTTCTGATGACTAGTGCTGCTCTGGAAGGCTATTTATCCTCTCATCTCCTCACAGACAGTCATGCTATTTTTACAATTTAGCTAAAGTCTATTACAAGCATACATCTTCAAAATTTTCGACTTTCTTTCACATAAAAACCTATGAATGAAATTCTACCTATCTGCATGCCTGAACAAGCGATGTGCTGTTCTCTAAAAGGCCACAGCTTTACCTTCCCGTCAGCCATGTGCAAACGTTTCAGTTGCTCCACATCCTCCACAGTACTCACTCCTGCCCAGCATTTCCATTCTGTGTCATTCCACAACTTCCTATGTCTGTATTACTGTTTCAAAGAAGGCAGTCTGACTATGGATCGGCGTACCTCGTAAGATCAACTATCACATATCGCTTCTCGGCCTTTTGGCTAAGATCAAGTGTGTGAAGATCAACTATCACACCAGTGAGTAATTCTGTTCCTTCTTTCTGAAAGCAGCTGTCTTGCTTTTATTTTGCTATCACAAGTGGGGCTCCTGGGATGTCCAAGACCACACGAAGGTGGAAAGACACGGGCCACACTGTTCTGACCCCAAGTTCTCTCTGGCACTTTTTGGTTCAGCATGATACTGACAGTAGGTTTCAAACTGACACTCTACCACGATGAGCAAATACGCCTCTATTCTAGCATCTTACAGCAATCTTTCTAAGATGTTGAGTTTCATCAGCATCTTTATATAAAGCGATCAGCTGATGCCATCTCATTAAACCGACTGATGTGATTTTCAAGGTTCATTAACCCACAACATTGAATCATTTCTGAATTCTCAGTTGCACCTCTTCTAAAACAATGCAAACTATAGTCAAATACATTTATTAGAGAAATTATAAGGTGGCATAATAGATGGGATCATCAACCAAAAAAGAAATTAAGATGAACAACACGGCATTAACACTGGAGAAAATGACAATAATATTACTATGGAACCATACATAATATATAAAATAAATTATATCTATAATACATATGTAATAAAATACATTGTATATTTCTTATGCATGCAATTATATATAATTTCACATTAATTTACATAAACAAAAATTATAAGTGTCACCTACTTTGTTGACTCCCCTCTTCAAAGATGTAATTTAAAGAAAAAGAGGAGGCAAGAGGGATGGAACGTCAAAGAAAAACATGAAAGAAGAAAAGGAAAAGGAAGGAAAGAAATTTTTATCAGTTCGCTCATTTTCCTTAAATAAGCTCATGAAAGCAGATCTGACCCAACGTGTAAGAGCCTGGATGGCCGGAGGCGCAGCACCGTCCCCCGGTGATCCTCCTGGCCACCCACAGATTCTCTGCAGGTGCTCACGAGTCTTTCAAAACAAGTTTATGTTCTCTTCAAGTCGCTGTTCAATTTTGACAAGGCTTTCCGTATGTTCTCATCCTCACTTTGGCCACCTGCGTGGGTGAGGCCCGACACTTCTTAGCACGTCAGTGGAAACCAACTCTACGTAAGGAGCACTGTTAGTGGACGATGAGGACAGCTGCGCATCAGAGAAGAACCTCATGCTCGAAGAACTGCAGAAAGACTCACGAAAACAGGTGGAAGCTGAGGACATCATAGAAAGGCCTTAATCTTTGTGCCCGTGAGGTCCTGGAACTCAGCGGTTATTGGTCACCCTTCAGCGACACGAAGGGACAGCTCCCTTCCTACACGGGCAGATCCAGGTGGCAGCGGGAGACGAGGGAGGTGTCACCTCTCCAGTGGGTCACTCCAGGTGAGGCAGCGCAGCATGGCTGCTGCGTGGAACATTCCGTCAGTCACACAGCTGAGTCCATCTTGGACCTGAGCCAGAGGATGTCTTGGGTTCTCCCCCACCCCTCCATAAACAGGAAGTGGAAGCAGCAGCTCCATTTCATTCAGAGATCGCTGGTATAAAACTGTGCACTTAACATTATTTTTATTGGTGACACTGTTGCATGAAGTCAGTGTTAACTAGACAGCAATGCAGTGTTGTTCAAAATTCCAATTAAAGTTTAAAACGTTCACTGAGCGCAGAAGTTTCTTAAAAACAAAGTGATTGGCACGGGCTGCCTTCCCTGGGAAGCGCCCCGGGGTTTCTGGGGTACGCCTGGAAGCTGGTCTGGCTGGTGTAATTAATGCGTGTGACGTGTGTGCCACTGTGAAGTGTGACATCTTGATTCTTCCTCCAAAAGGAAGCGAGACGCTTGCTCCAGTGTGGAATGGGATTAAGAGAAACAGCCAGGGCCCGGGCGCTGCCTTCCCGCCCCAGCCCTCCACAGCACTACAGTGCGCTCGCTTCCATCCCTACTCGCCGTGAGCACTACAGGAGAGCCCAGAGCACTCTGCGTGGCCAGAGGCCAGAGCAGAAGGCCTCAAGCCACCATGAAAGCAAGAAGGAATCAGCCAGAACTAACAGCTGCATAACGAAAATCAGGGCTAAGGTCAGGACAAGCAAAGCACGCTGGAAGCCAAGGGGCAAAGCAGTCAGACAACCGCAAAAGACCCCCAGCGAGCGCCCACATAAGCACATCCACAAGGTGAAGTTCAAAGGCACACGTCTGTACTTCTAGAAGCTAGACACACAATTCTCATGAAAACAGGTATGAAGGTCACCAAAATCCTGCAACCTGTGTGTCTCAGGGGACACAAATTATGATACTGGTGACATCAGTTTGGTTTGGCCTGCAGTGGCCAACAACCTTTACTTAGTCCACAGAATCTGGATGCCCCTGAGGAGGACACCATCAGGGGACATCAAAATATGCAGTCCGCTTCTCCTTCATGACTGTGTAGCAGCCACAGTGATGCAAGCCCAGACATAGCTGCCCAGAGGCCCATGGACCCAGCTGGGCTCGCGCATCTCCAGGCCGCAGTGCAATGTGGGTTATGACTGGGCCCTGAAGTGCCCATGCCAAGCTGTATGCATGACAAACCAGTTTATGGCAGAAGTGGGCAGCATAAGTAACACCATCCCCACCCTGCCCAACTCACCTTGACTAGGAAAAAGGACACGCCGTACGTCCGCAGGGACCGGGCCAGCTTCACGTACTGGACCTTGGCTTCTATTTCGCTCATCTCTCCACAGTTCTTGTGCTCCTACAAAAGGGACCACAACAGGGCCTGTTATTTCAACTCTGCCAGCAGGGGGACCTGGGGGAGAGGTGGTGACTGCAGGGCAGTGCCCAGGAGCTACAGAGGACAGTAAGTGATACTCGTGCCTGAAATTTCTCTGGGACACAGTCATCTGTTGAGTGAGGAACCCAGAAGGAGAAAGCTCCAGTGCGTGGCTTTCAAATTAGAGCTATAATGCAGGCAGTCTATGGATTTCACAACCAAGAGTGACAGTTCCCCACATGTGAAAGGTGGCACAACAGGGACGACAACAATGGCAATCGGATTTTCAAAGGACTCCATGTGCCAAAAGTTCAGAACTCACACTTCAAATAAAACATGGAAAAGTGCTCTTCTGTGGAGCGCTATCCTTCTAACATCTGCTCAAAATGCAACTCTTCCAAGTAGCAAATATATCGGATACAACAGTGTTTTGTAACACATGCAATTTATATTTTCATTCTTCTATCTCCAGACCAAAGGCTTTGACCTCCTGGACTTACTAGCGTGTTTCATAGTAAAGCTGATGACACTGCCCCTTTTCTAATCACTGGCTGAGATGGATTAAGTCTCTGATTTTTAAAAAGCCCTGAGCTGACTCCCCCATTTTAGCTTCAAAAAAGCAATCTCAGGAATCGAGAGCTCTGTGTGGCTTCTCCCCCAGTGTGGTCTCACGGTCTAGCGCCTTGTTTCATGAGACCAGGAGAAGGCTCTGAAATGAAACGTATGCACGCTTTTCTCAGAAGGGCTAAGTAACCTTTAGCGAGGAAATACGGATTAAGATAATAAATCTGTCCAAAGTGAAACTGCCGGCTTCTCTACTCGATTCCCCTGCCATTTCTTATAGAAGGACACACGCACAGGCGCAAGGCCCTCCGTGCACAGGTCCTCGGGTTAGTGAACGAGGACAGGGAGTGGGCAGAGGAACAAATGTCTACACATTTCAGTACCTGAAATATTCTCTTCTCAGCTCCTCTCTGCTTGATGTATTCTTTGGGCAGGAATTCCTTTAGACTGAGAAAGAGAGCGAGTGAGAAAAAGGTAGGCATTCATCATGTTCTCTGATGAGAAGCAAAGAAAAGAGACTGTTAATAAAACCCACAGTGAAGTCACGGACACTTCCAATATTTTATGGGGCAATTAATAACAGGCTCTGATGTCCTGCAATGCACTTCTGTGCGGACACATTAAAATCAGGCAGATGTGAAAAATGCAAAACCAACATGTGTAAAAGAAGAATTTCTAGGCTACACCATAGTGAAGACAGGCCTAAGAGGGTGCGGCACGTTATGCTTCCTAAGAAAGGAGGGAACAGGTCTTTAAAACAAGTATTTTTTATTTTCTACATGGTTTTTACAAAGTACTAAGGGGAGAAATCCTGTAGTGATGACAATGGTTCTCCATTGGAAGAACAGGAAAA